AAGGTTATAAACATGATAAAAACTACACTGTTTGCTGATGGTTAGTATCGGTTGTTTGGTGTTGATGGTAGTAGTAGAAGCTAACATATGTTACATATCATATTACATATAATAATGTACTTTTTGCTGCCTAACTCATTCACTCCTCACAATGTTCCTATAGGGCGAGTACAGTGATGTGTATTTTGCAAATGAGAAAAGTAAGGTGCAGAGAGGTGAAATAACTCTGTGTCTACCTTCTCACAACCTGAACATGTGCAGTTCGCTACAGAATCAGTCTAGTTACTGCTGCATTTCACTGCCTGACCTGAGCGCACACAGGCGTGTCTGGGTAGCACTGGAGCAGAGCGGATTAACAAAGACCATCTTTTTTTTCTTGCAAAACAAATTTTAACGCATTGTTAAACAATTTTTTTTTTTTAAGTTTGGTCTCTATTTTCAAATAGAATAATTGAAAGTGAGTCAGAACAGTGTGTCATTTGACGTTGGAAGAATCTAAGCATCATTCCTGCTCCGAAGGAATGGTCATCATTTATGTGGGTATTTGTGACTGAAAAAGTCAATAGACAAAAACAGCAGTAAGAGAAACACCAGGACAGTTTGGGTGGCAGTGTCATGTCATTCTTCAGTTTCATAATAGCGTTGGCCTTTGTCAACATTTTCTACAGGAAAAGTTATAAGGTGGCAAAAACAAAGAGCCACAAATGAACAAAAGGGGAAACAAGTTAAGACCTCCTTGAAGACTTGAGAGACTGTCCTTTTGTTTCGAAGCAAAGTCCTGTGTTCTCTAGAGAATTCTTCCTATAATTGTTCCTTTTTCGTATCTGCTGCTCTGATTTTCTCTGCCTTTCTTAGGGTGGAAAATTTCCTAATTCCTTAGCGTCTTTCTGAATTTTCAACACCAATTTATAGAAGCAACTTCAAATTATATCAGCATGGAATTTTGCTTTGAGTTAAGGTGTTTCATTAGTTGTGAAATAGCAGAAGAGGTTTTATTATTTATATTTCAGATTTATAGAAGAAAATGCAAATGGGTCAAAATCTATTATGCTTAGTGTTGAAAAACTGCCTTTACTTCTCCTCTTGCCAGCAGATTACTCCGACTCTATTAAGGCTCTTTTGGTCTGTGTCTTTCTTAGTACGATGTTGAGGTGGCGTAATGTATCCCTTATCACCGACTTGCATGTGTGACATGACATATTTTAAAGCCCAGTACAATTTAGTCTTATTCCATATTCTTTTACCATAATCATCGGTTAAATAAAAACTTGCTTAAGCTGATAACACCCGTCAGGGAATTTTATCATACTAAATAAAGTCTCCCTTAGTATATAGCACGTTTTGCACATGGCTGAGATATTCCTTCACTCTTCCATTTTTGTTTTACTAATAATGTCCTTTAAGTTTTTTTTCCTACCATGCAAATCTAGGGATATGTTTTGAAGTTTTTTCTCACAGTGAAATTATGAGATTTGTTAATTTTGTTTTGAAACCCACATTTTGTGAGAGTTGGGCATAGTATATCATGTGGCTGCTGTAGGTAACCTAGTTTATTGCTATAAAGATAAATTCCAGCAACGCTGAACAGATTTTTGAAAGTATGTAATATTCTTCAAAAAGCCTTACGGAGTTGGTTATGATGCTGAACTAATAGCATGTAGAAAACCTGGTTTGGAGAAGACTGTTCCCTATCCTTTATGGATCTGCTACTGAAAAGGTGAAGTATTATCCTAAGCAAAATGTACTTTCCAGCTTTCCTCATTGCTTTGACAAAGCCTCATCCCAGAATGCTCTGCCATCGAGTTCTCGGCTGCCCTCACTCTGGTATGAGGGTTTCCATGCTGATATTAGAGATACTCACATCAATATCCAGGCTAATGTCTAGTCGAAGCCCCTTGGGTTTTTGTTCTGAATTGCTTGAAATCAGCTCTCTTTCACAACACTGTTTGACAGTTTTTCATATGTCTTTTAAATTTTAATTATAACCTATCAAGTCTTAAGCAATTACTTCTGGGTTAGATTCTTGATGAATGTCATAGCAGGGTGTTTTAATTTAATAGATCCAGAATAACATCTGGTTCTAATATTTTAAAAGCCAATTTATATGGAAATTCATTTAATACACAGTCAATACACGGAGATGTGCAAAAATCAAAGTCAAAATGGAAAATCAATTCATTGTGATGTAGTGGGTCTTCCGTTAACAAAGGATTTTGCTCAGGACTAGGTTTGGCTGTCAGTACTTAACACTCAAAATATCATAGTTTAGAAAAGATAACAATTTATTTTTCATACTCAAGAAATGTGAGGTAGTTTGCCCAAGGCTGGTATGGTCTACTGTGACAGGGACTCAATTTCCTTCAGTCTTATTGCTCTACTGTTATGCATGATTTCTATTCCTAAGGACACCTTATGGGCCAATATGGCTACTGGAATTCCAACTATTACATCTATGGTTTGCCCAGCAGGAAGGAGAAGGGAGGAGTAGAGGGAAAGAAGGCTAAGCTTTTCCTTTTAAGGACACTTTCTGGAAGTAGTAGACAAAAATTATTCATACAACCATATCTGGCATCAAGGGAAAATAGGTAACTTTTTTCTAGATGACCCTGTGCCCAGTTAAAAATTGGAGGTCTATTAGATATTGAAAAAGGGGAGACTAGATACTGGGGAATGATGAACCATCCTTGCCACATACAGTAATTTTCAAGACATGATTTTTAACAGATCTTTTTGCCTTTTTATTGACCATCTAAAAAAATCAATAGTTCTCACAAGTATTAACAGCTATTGTATGTAAAAGGACTAGCATGGTGCTTGGCACATAGTACAAAATCATCAACTCCTGATCAACCTATTTTAGTTCTAACTCCCAAAGGCACCTAACATCATAGGTTATTGGTCAAGCAGACATTAATAAGGGACATTTTGTTGATCATACACCAGTCTTTGTATAATAATAGAAGTAGCTAACAGGTCAGAGAGATCATTTGCACTAGGGTGTCCACAACACTCTGTATCTGCAAAGCAGTGTTCTGCTTCTCTACATAGAAGATAAATGAACAATTACAAGTGTTGGTTAAATGATTTCAAGGTAAAACTAGTATCACAGAAACTGAAGCTCAGAGAGGTTAATTGGTAAATAATTTAGAGAAGCAGTTGAAAACCATGCCCGGTCATTTGATCCCAAGTAGAATACTAACTCTGCATTTTCACTGGTTATATAGCCTTGGATGACTTTCTTAACCTGTTTGAATCTCTTGTTTTTGCAGTTAGGCAATAAATGAGAGAGCTGGACTCAGGAATATTTCCCCACAATCCAGGGCTTTTCTAACCTGCTTTTTGGTAATATTCATATGGAAGATCTTCTGATCGCACCTGCCTTGAAACAGAAGGCAGAGCTGCTGGAGAGGCTAAAGGTGAATGACATTAGAATATGCCAGTACATATTTTCCAGCCACACAAATGCCCACAGCTCCTTAAAAAGCCTTAATATCAGACTAGGCAAGAGTTTTCTAGTTCTGGAACTTCTCATTCCTTCTTCCTCCTAACTCGTGTGTCTCTTCTGTGTTCTGTAAATAAAGAGATAGGAGATAGACTAGGGATACAGGAGACTCCAGATGCTACCCTGTTTTCTGGGAAGTATAATGACATAGGGCAGGGATCTTCCAAACTAAATCATTCACATGACACCTTCAACATTTGTACCCTACCTGCATATACTAGTAGTATTGGTTCCTTAATCTTTACACTGACTTTAAATTTTAACAGCTTCATTCTGAGCAGATATCTATGAAATCCAGCTTTGATGGGATGGATAATTACATTTTCTTCCAAATATTTCAAAATAAATACTATTAATTTTTATGGGGTGTGTCTGTCTTTTCACATGCCCCTGGAGTTGTTGGATGACATTTTGGGAAGCCCAGAATAGTGGAATGAGCATGATCCATGAAGTTCTACACTTTCAACTTGTGATTTTTGGACTGGTTATTAATTAATCTCTCAACCATAGCTTCCTCACCTGAGAGGTGTGGATAATAATATCTACCTCATCAGAGTTATTCTCAGGGTTAAGTGAAAAGGGATAGCCAAGGAGACTCGCACAGTGCCTGGCAGGGTAGCAAGTGCTCAGCAAATAGGTCCTTTCTTCTTGAAGTCTGGAAATACCAGACATGCAAACTGGAACTGTTCATTCTCAAAAGCAGAAGACAGTGAAGTACCACAATGATTTCCATAGACGATAGTAAGTTGTGTGCGAGGTCAGAAATGGGAAAGGCTGAAGTTTACTAGAATGAAGGAGGAAGGGAGACATTGGGTAGGTGGAGAGCTGTTCTTCCTAGCCTCTCCAGCTCTCTTGGCCCTTGCTACACAGCATGTGGTCCAAAGATCAGCATCACCTGGGAACTTGTTAGAAACATGGCATCTCTGGCTTCTCCCCAGGTCTGTTCAATCAGGTTTCCTTTTAACGAGATCCTCAGGTGATTTGTATGTATGAGAAGCACTGCTCTGGGCACTGATATTGTATCTAAAACTTATTTCAAGTAGGGGGCTCGTTTTGGCTCTAAGTGTATACCCTGCACCAGTATCACCTGGGTCTTGCTGCTTAAAAATGCAGATTTTCAGGCCTCACATCAGCCTGGGACCTGGAATATGCATTCTTAGGCAGTATGCACGTGAGTTTTAGGGCATTTGTTTGGCAACTGCTACGCTAAGGCTTAAACCAGTTGATAGGAACTCTGCCTTTATTCTTCAAAGGTATATTCATTCCAATGAAGAAGAAGGTCTTTAAGGAAGTGAAAGACAGCCTCATTGTGCTGTTAGTAAGCATTAAGGGGGGGACTTGAATTCCACCTATGTCTGCCTGGAGTCCCCCATCACAAGGCCACATAATAACAAAGCTTCCTAGGAAGGTGATATCTTAGCAATGTCATTTTTTCTTTTTTTTTTTCCTTTTTGTATTTTACATTTGATTTCTTTTTTTGTAACATTTTGTTTTTTAGCCGTGCTATCAAGACTAATCAGGATCTTCTCCCAGAAACTCCATGGACGCACATTTTCTACAATGATTTTTGGGGGACTCTTCTAACCCACAGTGGCAGCCACAAGTCCTACCGGCCACTCTGCACTCTTTCTTTTCGCCTGAACCATGCCATTGGAGGGTTGAATCCCTGGAGCTACCATCTTGTCAATGTCCTGTTGCATGCAGCAGTCACTGGTCTCTTCACAAGCTTCTCCAAGATCCTCCTTGGTGATGGATACTGGACCTTCATGGCTGGCTTGATGTTTGCCTCACATCCCATTCACACAGAGGCAGTGGCCGGAATCGTGGGACGAGCTGATGTCGGGGCCAGTCTCTTCTTTCTCCTCTCCTTGCTCTGCTACATTAAACACTGTTCTACAAGAGGCTACTCAGCCACGACTTGGGGCTGGTTCCTGGGGACGGGACTGTGTGCAGGATGCAGCATGTTGTGGAAGGAACAAGGAGTGACTGTTCTCGCGGTTTCAGCCATTTATGATGTCTTTGTCTTTCACAGGCTGAAAATGAAACAGATATTACCTACCATTTACAAAGTAAGTGATTGTTGGCTCTTGAGCATTGGATTACTGAGTAATCTACTTGCTTTGTCCTTTGCCATCATTTAAAAAGCAAATCTGTTCCTCTTCAAGCAGAATTTAAAATAAGTTCCTTTTTGATCTTCGGTAAGTGGAAGTGTCCTTCTTGACCTTTCTCTACTAAGCAGGGTGTCAGTCACTGAATGTTTTATTTCTCAGATTTCTTATTTTCATAATTTCAAAGATGGTGAAAGAATTTTGCCTTGTAAAGAATATGCACCTTTTTGTATTCTGTTTCTGCCCAAATTCTCTTTGATCCAATAAATTGTCTTTAATGTGTATTTGTAAAATTAACACAGCTGATAATAGAAGTTAGATGCTAGAAGACTCTGTAGAGGGGAAATCCTCTGCCATTTGTTAATATTACTCTTCCTGAGTTGACTTTGGAAAACAAGCCTTCTCTGCAGTGCACTGGGAAGTCAAATTCTTAAACAATGAATCATATTCACCTTTTCCTTGTTGTATAAGAATAGAAGAGTCAAAATAAAAAGTGTTTATTATTAAGTTTTGCCCAGAGGCCAACTAAGACCTTTGCCTCAGGGCTTAATATTCCTTCTTCTGTATTCCCGTAGTGGTTTCCAATGCAATGTTATTTGAAGGTCACAGAAGCATTTTAGGATCCCCATACACTTAAAGAGAGTGAGCAATTTTCTGCTAGAATATTAAGGAGAAACATTGAGGGGACTGGACATCTTGAGAAACTGCCTACTTTCCCATCTCCCCATCCTCCTTCACTCAGCTGAAACTTACCCTTGCTTTGACTTTAAGTATAAGAGACTGAACTTGGCCAGGGTTCGCAAACCTTGGCCGTGTTTTAGGCAAGCTCCCACCTTTCTTTTGGACGCAAGGAAGGAATTATGATTTTGGATACTGGAGGTGAGGTAACTGTTAAGTTTTCCTAGTTTTAACTACTCTTCTCCCCTCAATTACCAATTTTACTTAAAATTGAATTGGGAAGAAATGAAAGAAATTGAGAAAAATAGAAAAGCGAACATTTATTTTTGAAAATTGAGATTTATTTTTTCACTTAGTAGGCAGAGTAATCATTGCAGTGCTTTTGCTCAGCAGGAAGCCTAACCTTTTTCTGCTTAGAATTCAAGTATCCAGGGCTTAATGAAGTTCCTTTGTGATTTCAATTAAATGCCGAAACTTTACAAGAAAACTCTGGTTAGAGTCTGATGCTTGAAAACAACATATGGTTTGAAAGTCAAGCTCTTAATTTCAAATCGATTTTAATTATTTCAGTATTTCAAGGAGATTTAAGAGAGAGTAAATTGTTTTCTTCTAAAACAGTGTCATCAACAGTAACAAACTTTCCTATTTTACTGGAAATACAAATAGAATAATTCATGTCCTTGTCCTTATGAAGATTGTGATCTGTTTGAGGACACAGCCTCAGTGGCTGTGTCAGGACCTCCTGTTGGTAGCCTGTGAAACATTGTGATTTCTTATACAGAATTTCCATTTTACAATCTCATGAATTAGAAAATTGTTTTGATATGTCGATTCAGGACTTGCTTTTTGGATCTTTTGAAGTCCTCTTCTGAGGCATTTTCAGTTTTCTAAGCATATTTTCAAGGGCAGAGTTGCTTATTATAGAGCTCCTTGTTTTAAGTATGTTCTATACAATATTTGGGACATACTTATAATAAAAAATTATTCATTGTTTATCTGAAATTAAAATTTATCTGGGCATCCTGTATTTTATCTGGCAACCTTACTCATGTAACTGCTGCTTAAGAAAATAAGAACTGGCACTAGCAAAGGAATTTCTAAGAGTAGAGAGTGTGAAGTTCTCTGTGCTATGAGAAAGAACTTAATACTGTTGAAAGTTGGGTCCTGAGATGTTTTTAAATGGATATTTGCCCGGACTCTCCTGGCAACCACCGCTTGCAGGGCTGGGCAGCAGCAAGGAGGGTAGTGAAGGGTCTTGCTGCCCCCATCTGAGAGTTGCTGCCTCGTCTTGGTTCTTTTTGTCATGCTTAGGTTTGGGGCCAATGAGCTTAATAAAGACATTGCGATAACAGACTTTATAGATTTGTAAGGAACCATAGACATCATCTTGGCCACTGCCCTAATTTCCGGCTGAGGTGTAGAGAGCCAGAGAGATGTAGGTTACTCAGAAAATGGTAGAATCACTAGGACTAGAACACACATTTCTGACTGTCTAGTGATCTCTTTGCTACACTCTGAAAGTGTGAGTTAGAACAAACATGTGAAGTCAGATGACTACATGGTAGAAAGAAAGATAATGTGGGATAGAATCTTAACCCGTAGAGGCTGAGTAACATTGAGCTAATTCTACAATCTAATTTCTTTATCTAAATATGGAGGCAGTTATTGTTCTCACCTAGTGTTATGACGATTATGTGAAGTTGTGGGGTATTCAGTGTGAGCTGGAGTGTTCTGTATTTGGACAGCACCTAATATGTATTAGTCGAAGGAAGAAGAAACATTGATGGAAATTGTAATTCTTTATCTTTTAACCTTCGCTTTCCTAAGATAAACTTCTAGTTGTTTTTACACATACAGTGTTCAACAGCATATGAAATAAGGGCTGCTTAGGAGTTGACTAAAGCTGAAGTAAGAAGATCTAGCACAAACCTTCATTTAGAATCTCAGAGTTGTGAAGCTCATTAACACTAGCATAGATTGCATATGGAAGTTATGGAAAATTCCATATTCTATCTGCAAGATACATAGATTTCTATGCTTGGGGTGAGATAGAGGAGATTCTTTCTGAAGAAAGTAGACTGAAAGACTTAAGAAGGTCCTTTTTAGCTTTAAAAGAATAATCATATTATAATAAATACCTTACCAACTCTGCATCATAGTTATCATCGTTTGCCAGGTTAAATAAACTTCCTTGCCCTATCAAAATAGAACTTACATAGAAACAGGAAACTCCAGCACACAAATGCTTAACTCTATCATGCAAATTAGAGAACCAGCCAAATACTTAAAACCTGAAAAATTGGCGGTCGTCTTAAAGTTCAAAAGGGTTAGGACCAGAGGGGCAAGGCTCTCCATTTTTATACTTTGGTCAGTAATGTTTTTATCATACATACCAGTCCACTCAGCTTCTCTTTTCACAGTGTCGGTGGTTTGGATTCTATAACTCTTAATTGAATCAAACGCTGGCTCCCAAACTCACATGCCTGCCAGGGCCATGCAGAAGGGACGATGGGGAACTGGAAGTCCTGCCCTACCGTTGTCCTCCCCACTCTATTATTGGGTTAAGAAAATGCAGGTTTCTGTCTGGTAGAGCTTACGATTTTTTTTTTTTTTTTAAAGAAGACAGAAGTCTGAATTTTTCTGTGTATGTGTTTTTTTAATATTGGTTACTTAAAAAACAAATAAACCTCATTTGGGCCAGACAAAATATTTGAGCTGGCTAAATTTGGCCAGTTCGGACTCCTATTATAAGACTCACACAAATGATGCACACGTCTGTGTAATGTGTCGGGCTTTTGCAATTCTGCAAAGGACATGTGGAAGCTATATTTTTCTTTGGTAAAGTGAATGGGAAAGATAAATACCTGGCATACAGTAGATACTTAGTATTTAATGAACAGTGTTTACATCTGCCAGGCACTGTTCTTCGTGTGCTAAAAATGTTAACACATTTAACTGCTTCTTGAGAGAAGTAACATGACTTATGAAATAATATGGTTGGATGCTGACAAACAGTAATTTTGTCAGTAGTAAGAAAGATTTGTCAGAAAATACTAAATATATAAAACCTTCAGAAATATGTATGAACAAAACTCAGTGTTTTAAAATAGCTTTTAGCCCCAGGATTCTGTTTAATGTGTTTCCTACATTATGCTTGGCCTCTAGCATACCATCCGGCATATAGTAGATACTTAGTAAATTATTGAATCCACACTTAAGATTTACCTTTTTAAAGTATGGCTGAAATGTTAAAGTGAAATCCTGTACAATGGGAATTTCATTCCTGAGTTAGTGGGGTCTGGAAGGTGGGATTGGAAGACATGCATGTCAGAAAAATAAATTTTCTTGACCTTTGACCAAATGATTGTTTTAGCGTTCCTTAGATTACTTTCACTTACTTAGTTTTATGTGGTCAAAAAAAAAAAGAGTGGGGAGGAACCCTTGAAATACACTTAAACTAGCCTTACAAATAAATACTAGACTTTTATCTCCCCACAAAATTTTTTACAAGCCTCCCATGACCCCAGGAGGTACATGGGTAATAAAATCAGTAAAAGCAACATTTTTCTTACTCAACATCAGTCGTGGCTTGCCTAGTGGCCATTTTCTGTGCTTATTTAACATCTGTTAACTGTTTTAATGTGGAAACATCTTTTCCCCCTTTATTAGCCTCATAATCACTTTTTCAGTTACAGGTGGAAAATTTAAAAACAAGGAAATCTGAAAGTCAACATAGCAAGTCTAATAATTGCCCAAGATAACTTGGAAAAATGAAACCCTTTTGGTTTGATCTTTTCAAAATTTCTCTAAAGATGACTTCCTTTGTTTTGCTCTAATTGCTTCCACAATGTGCATTATCTGGGTAAACTCTCTTTAAAATTAAATTGTGTGCCTCTTTCACATAAACAAGATAAGGTTATTTTATTATAAGGGAAAATGGGAGGCATTGTCACTTCTGGAAAAAAACAAGTCATCTCTTTCTAGAACTAGATTTTCTTAATGCAAAGCAGGGTGTGAATGATGGAAGTTGCTCTTGGTGAATGAAGTTTACCTTTGTCTTGAATATTGCTTAAGCTTGATTCTAAATTAAGATGTAGTGATCAGACCAAAACTAAGAAATAACCCCATATTACCAAATCATTTACAGGGTTTATCTTAAGAGTGATTTCTGAGGGTGGCAGTTTGTTCTGTTAAGGGTTTTTGGTTCATCACTATGTGAGCACTACAGATACTAAATGTGGTGCTTCTGTCCTTCTGACTATTTTGTGTGACTCTATGTATAG